GGAACAATTAGAGAGGCGTCAGACCTGCCATTTTTGAGGCTAATGCCGTTTGGACTCCAGCAATTTCGGCACCGAGCTCATTTTTAAATTGCCTAAGTCACCAAACCCGCTGAAAACATGTACACAAGGGTTATTTGACATCGTGATTACAATTATGACACTCATTCTTGGCGCTGGCGCAAGAGATACACTACGATGCCTCCTGGCTCAGGCCTTAGCAGAGCCCGGCCAAATAATCGAGTGTCATCCATTAGCGCCAGCGGCAAGAGTGAATGTCATATTCGTAATTAGAATGTTAAACTACCCCTATATACAAGTTTTTAGCGGATTTGGTGACTTAGGCAATTTAAAAATGAGCTCGGTGCCGAAATTGCTGGAGTCCAAACGGCATTAGCCTGTCTTTGGGCCGTAGCGCCTTCGTTAGTTACTGTGAAACCGCGAAAAAGAAACAATCTTAGAAACTGAGAGCCAGACTACTTGTAGAAGGAAAACGCCCACGAGAACTGATTGTGGTTAAGGGCAAACTGTAGTGGAATGTAAAGTAGGGAAACTGTTCGGGAAAACGACAAGTTGAATCATCAAAAACAAACATTTGCTTTGGAATCAGTACATTACGGAATAATCGATAAGCATGCGAAACAGTCGAAACAGCTGACTGCAAGACAACTCGGAGACTTGAATTCGATTGCCGTCAAACGGAAAAAAGTCGCCGTCGCCGATTATAATCTCGATGGAAATCCTTGTCGACTTCCGTAGAGGTTTTTCTATTTGAGGTCGCTCAAAGACATGCGAAATCACTACTTCATAGTCAGAGAGCTTAGATCGCGTAGCCACTTTCGCAGCTGCTGCTATCCAAACAGACACATAACCTGTTTCAAATCGACGACCCCACGACTAAACCGGCCAAAGCTGCGGCGTACGCGTGAACTACGCCAATCTCATACTGATGAATGTGTCTCTACACAAAACAGGATAGCCGGAACTAATTGAGGCAAAACGAGTGCTAGGCTGCACATTACCGAAACTTGAAGTTCAACTAGCATTTATGGGAGCATTGGTTTCATGAGTCGCACGTTTTCTTCTCTTCCCCGCTACCAAAAGACAAATGATCCTGCATGACATACGCCATCAAGCGAAACTTTTTTCAATCCGCTAACAAATTCTGCTAGCCTCAAACTTTCATCAATCACTGACACGCCTCCAATAAACTTCAACGAATGAGTGTTCTTCAGAAACAGGAACCTAAACTTTGATTCATACTCCTCACCTAATGAAACCTCTCAGACATCAGCTTTGCGAGAGGCACCTACTTTGAGCATTCACAGGTCCCTGAAAAGAGATGTACGCTTTCCTTGAGCAAACATCTCCCAGCAGCTTTCTAATGAGTTCGTGAAGCGCATTCCGCATTTGTCGGAGAATCAGCGAAAAGACTTGAAAATCGATACAGCGAATCTCAGTGAGCTGGAGAACCGTAGAAATGGAAGATCAGCAAATCAGCAGAAAGGATAAGATACGATTGGACCCACTGGTCCGCCAAAGTTGAGCTATATGAATTCGTGTCGAATCCTTTTCACGAGTCCTTCGCTTCTCTGTTGCTTCTGCTTGGCGCTTGCTATAAACACAACAGAAAGAAGCCGTCAAAAACGTCCTAACCAAGAACCCTCCCAATCGCGAGCAATGTACGAGCGAAGAGAATGTGAGTTTGGAAGAGATTCCGGGCGCAGTTCGGCGACGGGGGGCATTTTGTACTTTCATTGCTTCCCTAGTTCCGGTTTACAAGTCTCACTCTGGTGAAACCTGTGAACTCTTGTGAAGCTGGAGCAAGGTCGTCAAGCCATCATGGTAAAACCTGTCAACTCGAGAAGAGGCTGTCTAGATAGGTCGACACGTCGATGGGAAGTAGCAAAAGTGCAAAATGCCCCCTGTCGCCGAACAGCGCCGGGATTCCGCTTGTGAATCAGACTAATATGACCTCCTTTCCCTTATCATGTCACTTTCACACCTTACAGCCTTACTGAGTCCAGCCCTGAACGAACGACAGTCCGAATCGATCTTACTGTGGGCTTCCGCGTAGTCTCAAGTTCGTACTGTGCTAATGGCTATTTTTGCAGTGATGTGTGATGACCTATCTGTGAAGTAGCAGACCATTGGTCGGGCATAGCATGAATTCGCTTCGTTCCTTCTCATGTTTGAAGACGCAATTACCCGTCGAAAAAAGAAAACCACAATAAAGTTTGATTTCCGGGAAATTGTGATAACCCCATAATATTTAGAATTTTTTTTTTTTTTTTTTTTTTTTGTTTTTGACAGCGTTCAACTTTGCGGTTGCGGCAGCAATTGAGGACTGATCCCGCTTTTCTAAACGAGCGTTTCACGCAATTGGGAAAGTGTGAGTATCGATCCGCACTTTCCCAGTCGCGTTTGGAGCGTCTGTGCGCGTTTTGAACGCTCTCGCGTGACGTCCCAGAATTTTTAGCGTTGAACCATAAGAAAGCAAGCCGGATCGATTACCACCTCAAAAACCTGTCCTGATGGGCCGTTGCGGATCGATAGCCGTAACAGTTCCTAAGTCGCTCAAAACACAGGATTGACACCTAGTACCTTTGCTCAGTCGCTCAAAACGCTTGGAACCCATAGAACGCTGATAGACACTCAAAATGCGCCGCCAAATATGAACGCACCTTTGCAATTATAGTGTAGTGCGCTGCGGACGGTTGGGCGTGTCCGTGCGGCTGCGTTTGGCGCGGTGCCAAACTCGTTCTACACCAGTTGTTGAAGCGGGCAAGTGACAATACTGTATCATATCCTTCGTATTACTAGTCTTCTACCACTTTTTGTCGCAGACGCTCTTCAACAAGAAGGCAGAGAACGGCTTTGATAGGGTGACACACTCATACTGGCTGACACGCCCAACCGTCCGCAGAGAACTATAGTGTACACACATTGTCGCTTAGTCGCAAACCTCCATTACGACGACGACAAAGGCGCAACGTTGGCCGGCTAGGGCCTCACGGGCACATCGCTTGCTGTGCATCTCCGAGCTACGAAAACAGCTAATCCGACTGGGGGCCCACACTACCTACTTATAGAAAGGACTTCACTCCCATGTTGGTAGCAAAACGGTCTTTGAACTAAAAAACCCATTTAGGCCAATGATTGGGAGCAATCCTGAGACCTGGCAATCCTTTCTGTACGAGGATCCCTCAACCAATTTCATGCTATACTACCATTATCAACGTTTACTCTACTATTCGTACCCACTTTCTGATGAGAAAACCTGACTAGCCGGGTAGTCAACAATGCTGAGCAAAAAGTTCGCGCCCTTTTTAGACGCAGTGTAATCTCCGCCCAAGTTAGCCCATCCAGATGGAGAAGAAAAAAATTGGAAACCTGATTAGGGTTATTGTTTAAGTGAGATCGCAATGAATCAGGTGACCGCGATGTTTAATCTTAGGTGCTAAAAAACAACTCGGCTCTGACCGTAAACTGTAGAGACAAATTGTGTCAAAAAAAAACTCAAATTGACTATAATTAGAGTATGCTTATAAATATACGACGTCAATGTCTGCCCTAAAACTTGAAGAAACAAGTTTACCAAGAATATAAACTCGGTTCAATCATACCACCTTCAACAATAAAGACATCAAAGATGACGAGGAATAAAAACACGAAATGTAGTCAACTCAGGTAAATGGTTGTTTCAAAGAAAAGTACAGTACGACCACGAAAGCAGCCTTTTCGTGTTAAAATTTTATTAATGACATTGTGTTCTCATTCATGACTAGTGGGAAAAGTGGTGGTAATTCAATCGTACTATGAGAAAGTAAGTAGGTTTGACACTACAATTGAAAGCAATAGCATTAGCACTTTTCAGGAATGTTCCTTCAAATTTCACATTTTTTTTCGAGGAGACACAAAATAGGACAAAAGCCGATTTCTTACTTCGAGACTCAAACGATTCCCGATCGCGCGAGTACGACCAACACGCGACCCGCTGATGTTCATTCGAACGAGACTTATCACATTTAGGAGAGAAACCTTGACGGTCCACTGATTAGCGGTGGAGCGCCCACGGTTTTGGTTGCGCGTCGAGAGCGACAAAACGCTCACTCAGTCGAATCGCAAAGTATGAAGCAACCTATACTTCAACCGGAATTTCGTGCTCCTACGTACAACATTGGAAGAACCCTTGCTTAGTAACTGCGAAAACTTACCCGCACTTAGGCCTCTGATATCAGAGCTATTCTCTCAGATGGACAAACTACGTACTAAATTCAATAATTCTGTAAAATTATCACCTGTAATAGCTGAGTACGGCTGTGGAATCGAGCACAAACCATCGTTGTCGATATCCTTTCAAGTAATTTGTCCATTTATTGAGCCATCCTGCTTTTTCTTCGCTGAAATAAATCTATTAAAACGAATCGAACAGACCCAGCCACTTCTAGACCATCAGGTCTGCATGATTACCGCTAAGGTAAGGGGCTAATACCTTGGGGAAAGGGAGGATGCGCTTGTAAGCTTTTTTCTGTGCGTCCTTCTCATTGTTTTTTATTTTGCCTTTTCACAATCGCGTCTCACCTCGGGAGTCCAGTAAATTCTTCCCGAGTACCCTGTAAACTCCTGTCACGATGGGCAAAATGGTCCCAGTGGCATTGAAACGCAATTTCTCTATTTTTTTTCCAAATTTCGAAAAGTCATCTTTACAAGTTTGATAGGAACTCGCAGGAAGCATGACAGGTGATAAAAAGGGTCACAGTATGTTGACAAGGTTATTCTGTTCTTTCATGAATGCGGTTTAGAGGATTTGGTATGCTGACAAGCGCTCACAAGTGTGCCCCTCCCCCTCCAATTAGCGCCGTAAGGTAGTTCCCTGGAATTGCTTTCTCTTCACCCAAACAATAGCTTGCCCTCTAGCGATTCCGCGATTCCTCCTGTACATCTTACAGACAAAATGTTTTTCATTCACAACTCCGCATGTCATTAATTCACCGTTGAGCTAGTTCTAGGAGAGCAAACGATCTTAGCTCAGTCTTATCCTGCCCATAAGCCAAGATAATCTCTGTGCCCACCGCCTTTATGCAGTTCAAATTGTGTAAAAACTTTCACATTCTCGGGCGACCGCGGGAACCATTCCCGGAAGCTCCCCCTTTCCCTACCGAAGCACGCGTGATTCCTCGTGTTTTTTTTACATAGAACAGTTTGCAAAAGTCCTTTGAAAGATCTACAGTTTTGCACAAGTCCTTAAAGTGCCTAAATTGAAGACGAAAAGAACCCAAACGCTACCTGCTCGGGCGTGAGCAGGTTTTAATAAACTTTTATGGTGTCACTTGTTCTTTGCCTCCCAAACGAAAAACGAAACTGTCGATTTATTGTCGTCGAGATATTAAATCGACAAATATTGATTGAAAACGACAAGTGAAAGTGTCGACTTATTCATTACGATTATTGACGAAAAATCCAAAGTGTCAAGTTGACCAATTGTTTCTACATTCGAAATTCGGCTTAAAATCCCTATCCTTAAAACCAAAATTAGGCCTGAATTTCGATTTTGGCTCACAATTCCATCGAACTCGGAACCAGCAAATTGATCTTTCCCGAAAGACGGAAAGCTTGAATAGTGCAAACGATGGCACTATTTACCCTTTACTGCCCCAGTCATCCGAAATCAGGCCAGTTCCTGACCGACTTTTTTCTCCGTGGGCAGATTTTGCTCAAATGTTGTCTCCTGGGGTAGTTTGACCTCCAGAATACGAATATCACATTCGCTCAGCCCGAAACTTCCTGGCGCCCGCGCCACAGGCGCCAATGATTTGGGGTATTTTGGCGCCGGTGCCCGTGGTGCGGGCGCCAGGAGGTTTCGGGTTGAGCGGATGTGATATTCGTGTTCAGGGGTCTACCCCTGGGAGCAAGTTTTCAGCGAATTTGGTGATTTCGAGTATTTTGGCGCCGGCGCCCGTGGCGCGGGCGCCAGGAGGTTTCGGGTCAAGCGGATGCGATATTCGTGTTCAGCGGGTCGAACTACCCCTGGAGCCAAGTTTTCAGCAAATTCTGCCCACGGAGAAAAAAGTCGGTCAGGAACTGGCCTGATTTCGGATGCTGGGCAGTAAAGGGTAAATAGTGCCCAAACGATAAATGGGACCACCGAATGCCATCATATAACCATTCATGACCTGCCAACCCCACTAGGCTCTATTTGCATATATACCATTTCCACTTTAAATTCACCCTTTTTCAAACCAAAGTCACCCTTTTTCAAGCCAAATTCACCCTTTTCCAAACCAAATTCACACCTTTTTAAACCAAATTCACCCTCACTTTTCACATCAAATTAACCACACTTATAAGGGCGGGCATCATCAAGCAGATCACGCCAGACATCACTGCGAGCCCCGCCCCACGGCCAGCCGAATGAATCTAGATCGAGGAAACATAAAATCTGAAGATTCTTGATATGTAATATATAGACAGTTCTGCAATTTTCTGAGCTATAGTATGCAGGCCTGTCACCGTTGGCAGGAAATGATCTCAGAGATCGTCATTTGACTCACGACATGGAATGAGCTCTGACGGCACAACTATATCTCGGAGGCATAGAAGGATGAATATCTATCCACCGTGAGCGCCCGTGAAATTGATCCAGCCGCCCCATTTTCTAAAGGCCGGTTCTGGATTCATAATTCTAGGCCGCAAAAAACGCCCCACTTCCTTTTCACCCGGAAACTTTATTCGCGAAATAATATTTCTCAGAATTTTTCCGGTCACCGGGATATGATGTGGGCATGTGAGGCAAGAATTTACGATGGCTGCTGTTGCCCACCGTCTCAATCGGACAGTCTAGGGTCCGCACAATGAACCCACTTCTTAGGGGCGTGATACTCGCACCAGCGGTACGAGCGACGAATTCGTAATTTCTAACATATATATGCTAGACTTCCAGGCATGTTTTCCCAAAATTGTGGTGGCTATGTAAAAATCCCTCTCAGGGTAATGCGTCTTCTGTGTGAATTATCTGCTCGAGAAAATAAGACACGAGTTGCCGCGACGATTAGCTTGCTAGTGTGTAGTGTGAGCGTTAAATATAGACGTTATATGGACCATGTTAGGACAATGGTCAAACTCACAGACAAGTCTTTATACTGCGGTCTGCACCACTTTTCAAAAAAGTAGGGCGCTGATTCTCTATCCTAGCTAGCTCGGAAGCTCCTTGTGCTTAGTGAGTGATAGTGCGACGTGGGCTTCACAAGGCGCAACGCTGCTATAAAATGTGAAATATAATAAAATTGGAAAAGAAATAAATTAGTAATGGAAAAAGGGAGAGAGAGAGCAAAGTAGCGAGAACATGTGAGAGCAGTCTGAGATTGACTAGAGCTGTTACTTGAAAAAATCAGTGGTTCGCTGACAAGAGTTTCGGCGAGTCAGTTGAGTGCCCGGTCGTTATAAGAGCTCAACGTGCCTGTGGAGCACGCAGGTTTGCAGACTGGAGATCTAATTCCGCGCTGATGGTGTGCCGTCGGGCGGGCTCTGAGTATTCTGGCGTGATCCTGCTAAATGAAAGCTCCCATACTAATTTCACACACATCTAATTGTAGAATTGTATGGATATAGTAAATACGTTAAATACAGGGAGATAGCATTTGATATACAGGTCAGTCGTAAGTAAGTATTGTGAGATACGATGAACTGAGCTGCAAATGTGGAAGAATTGTCTAAAGAGTATTGGAACATAATCTAGTATCTAACGACTTGATGAAAAAAAAGGGACAGAACGCACCCCTTATCCCTGGGACGGCGCCCGATGTTATGGTCGATAGCAGACTATTATGTTAAACTGAGTGAGAGCTACATATGAATCGAGTATCTCGATGGATTTTTACCTTTCTTGAGAGACTAATATTGTTGCCACTGGGTGAGTTTCTGGCTTGTCGAAGTAGCGGGTATTGACACACTCTCCAAAACACCTATTGCTGTTCAACATAGAACAGTCAAATACACCAAAGAGTAGGACCGAACTCAATTTTTGGCGCGAACTTGACCCACGCCTGTAAGAAATAAAGTACTTTGCCCCATCATTATTCAAGTCACCACAGCCGCATAAAACTTATCCCACAGGTCTCAGAATATCTCAGACGCGCACCAGTCTTTGCGTGACCGCAAGCGATACAGTTAGGGGCGAAGATGCACGGTAAAGACTCGGATGCAGCTCCAACCTCCTCCTGGCCAAAACCAGCCCCTATCTATCTCACTGCCATACCACGCATTCCGGAGGTGTCTGGGGTGTTGGGTTGTGTGCTGGGATGCAATCTTGCACCGCCGAGACATTAACCACTACCAGTGGAGAGGTTGAACTTCACCGAGATGATTGATAATAAGCCGCGACGGAAATCTATTATTGACGAATAACCTAGCTAGACAGTTCTCACTCCGCCACAACTAGGCGACGCTAGAGGGTTCGCGTGTTGCACTAATGGAGCTTACAGGAAGTGAGCAAGGAGATCACATTAAGCAGCTCAAATCTCGCTCACCAAATAGTCTTACGGCTACACATCGGTGTCATCCCCCTTCTAAGATTCTTGTGTTGGAGCAGCCAATGGTAAATAGAGCACTTGGCAAATATACATCATACATCAAGGAGAAGTACAGACACTTTTTTTCAATCCATTTCACGGCTTAAGAACTAGCCGAATTCACCGACAGACCGTCCAGGAATGGATAGTAGATATATAGGATTCCCCCTCTCCGTCACTTGAATTGAGTCGTCAATGCCACCCTTGACCCCAGGGATAGTTAGTGCAACTAAGTCGCGTAGATAATCCGGACAGAGATCCCGTTGCCCTGGAGGTGACACAAAATTTGACGGCAGTGCGACCTACCACTTCCGGAGGCCAGAGAGCAGCCATCATAGTCACCAAAAAAAATTAACAGAAAAATCAAATGACCTTCTTTAATGCCAGTAGAGCTCTTGGTTGAAACTAGTACCTTAACTCACTTACAGAAAAGAAGAAAAAGAAATGGCGCAGTTTGGCGACGGGAGGGGGAGGAGGAAATTTGCACTTTCAATGCTTCACTACTTCCGGTTTTTTTAATTTCATTCTAGTGAAACCTTGAACTATTGTGAAGCTGGAGGAAGCACGTCCAGCCATCATGATAACCCTCGTAAGCAGCAGAAGTGGAAAATTCTACACCCCCCCCTCCCCACCGAGACCCCAAGCAAGGTGCTAGAGGAAGCACTACAGTAAAAGAAAAACCAGGAAATAGATGAATCAAATACTATTTGCTTCGTCGCAAGCTAACAGACAGACCAATTACTTCATAAGTCCGAACGGGTCGTACGCAAAGTTCAAAAACCTCTTGAAATGAAGAAAATGAAGCTGAAACTCACGTGGCGTTCTCCTGAAGTGCCAGTGATGAGACGGACGAACCACCAGTACCACGCACTGACGATGACGACATCACTAATCGATCTACTTTCTGTTGACTTTGAGTGTTGCTGCCCTTCCGGCTTCGACGTTTCCGAAACAAGCGCTTTTGGGCCGATTTAGCGACCGACCATGTTCCTGCAACCATCACTGCACACCTGACGTATCAACGAACGGCCGCTTTTTGATCAATATTTCGTTGCTGCTAGGACGACTGAGCGTGGCGACGGTCGTTGCGATAGGTAGATTCAGTGCGGCTGGAAGAGTAATGGCGGTTGGGAGCGTGTGTGTGTTTGGTGGCAGGCTCACGGGCAAGGTCTACAGCACACACTCAGCACAGCACCTGGGAATGAGCGTGCGGGAAACAGTCGCTGCCAACGGTGATAATGTGACAACACCCACCAGATATGACGTTTGGCCGATAGTGAACGTTATGGTAATTCCCCGCTACACAGTTGCGAAGCAAGTCATAGGCATCACCACTGCATCTGTTGGCTGGCTCGGAACAGGTCTTCCCCAGCCATTACTTCCATAACCACCTTCTTTCACCATCAAACTAATCGATCAAAAAAAACACATATGCCTAAAATGGAAACCCTATCTAATTTTCCTCACATATAGGTTTATAATGCTAACCACGATGGGGAAACCTGATGAAACAGCATGTACTGCCAGACTGGAGGGCATTCTAGGCTGTTTCAGTTGGAACCATTCCTGAGAAGATCAATAGCTTCTTCCAAACAGCCCCGCATTCCGAAAATTTCATCGAAAAGGGACGTTGGAGAGATGAATCACCACAGAATGGGAAATATGCTTTCATTGTCCACTTCACCATTTCTCCAAAGCGTGCAGTTCAAAAGATTCTAATCAACAAGCCATATATCCCTCGACAAAGTGCTAATATTCCTGATTAGGCGACTCAACATTAAGTTGGCGTCAAATCGATTGTGCCACGACAGCTCACGTCCCATACCATTCACTTCACGGCATTAACTTTAGGGAAATCAAAAAAAATTGATAAACTGCTCTTGTTTGTTTCAAGTTCTAAAGACCATTGACTGGATGAAAGACATTGAAACTGTGGGATGAAGAACATGACCCCCAAAATTTGAAACAGAATGAAGCTATTTATCGACTGGCGTAAATTTCAGGGAATACCGTGGAATAACCAATATAAGACGCAAGCTGCTATGATCTAACATTTGACGCCAAAATTCAATGTCGAGTCAACTAGTCAGAAATGCCCCTTTTTAAGCAGTGTCACGGCTCAGTTGGAAACCACACCCGCTTCTCACAACCTACCCCACAACTCTATGTTGCGACGAATAGAACTGTTTGGCTGCGTTCATTCTTTGCGGAGAATCGGCGTTTCAGAATTGCATCTTGGGAGAACCAGCGCTTGGACAGAATGCGCGAAAAGGAAAGTGCAGTTATCGTTCTGGCCTTTTCAGAGAAGAAGCGCAAAAAGTATGTGTCGATCAGCATTATTCGCTACGTTTTCACAGAATTGACGTTACGAGCGAAAAGGAAATCGTGGAGTGAGTCGGATGGATCGGCGTTTAGGAGAATCGGTGCCTTGGAGAACCAGCGTTCTGGAAGAATGCGTGGAAAAAGAAAGTGAGGTATCAATCCGGCATTTTCCGAGAGTAGGCGTTTTCAGTAAAAAGAATATTTATCGATCGGCGCCATCCGCTAGCGCTTTGGAAGAATCAGCGTTTTGAGCGAAGCGTCTTGGGCGCGGATCGTACCTATATTTTCCTTTTCATGTACTACCCAGGAATGCCGATTTTCCTAGAAGTCCGACTCTCCCGAGTCACAGAGTATGAAGGTAGTCTTAGAAATGATAAAAATCTCACTCAAGTCCACTTGCTTGTCAAAAATTCGTTGCGAAACATGGCTACACACTGCTTTCTCACCAAGCTCGAGGAAGTTTTCCCGAATTCTCCTCTATCCCTAATGACTGGGCTTTATTGCGATCTCCCTCATACGGCAGCGTTCAGACTTCGCGAGGCTTCGGTCCCGCGTTCGACGCGATAGGTGCACATGCTTTCCACTTCATT